CAACCCCTATGATTCTATGATTTTCACACCTCTGCTGCAAGGGTGAGACCTCTGGTGGTCTTCAGAGTGGCTCAGTTCTGTCTGGAAAGGGTCAAAAAGTGGTTTCAGAGGTAGCTGCTGGTCAATGGGGTATTGGAAGCCCCCTGGCAGCTGCTCCTCAGAGGTAGATTGCTGTGTTTTATCCCTGGTAACTTTTTGGTTGTTATCACTCATGCTCCTGAGGACACCCTGTGTTTTACTGCTTCCACTCAAGGTTATTTTGCTCCCCTACCAAACACAAAGTCATGACACAGGACTTGTGGTTCCAGGAGTGTTGTTCAGCTCAAGTAGATTTGAAGGTACACTGCTGTCCTCCTCAGCCAGAGAGCTTATTCTGCCAGCTGACTGTCTGCACTTAGCTTCAGGCTCACAGAAGTTCATACCATACACACCTCAATTTTTAGCAGATTTAGTGCATTTCAAGTGCTTGAGTTCATCTATAGAATTCAAAATGGTAGGAGCTATGAAAAAAATGGCATTCAGGATGGCAATAATGTGTGCCCAGCTGTTTGATCCCACTCTGGGTAAAGAGAAAAGCTTGGTAAGGAGCCACTCATTTTTCTTTTTAATTAATAATCTCTTTTCCCTCATTTCAGGTAACAAAGTCAATGGCAGGGGTGGTCAAGTCTATGGATGCCACGCTGAAGAGCATGAACTTGGAAAAGGTAAATGCTTGTCTTGGAGCTGCACACCAAGAGTGGAAAGGACAATGGGCACCATTTAGGGTGATGCCAGTCAAGAGAGGAGGTTGGTAGATCCTGGGGCAGGTTGCCCAACGTGGCTGTGAAGTCTTCACACAGGGAGATGCTCAGAAGTTGACTGGACGTGGCTCTGCCTGACCTGCTTGGGCTGCAGGGTTAGCTCATCTTCAAAGTTGCTGCTGGGAGGGGTTCAAACTTCTCATCTCCAGAAGCTGCTGGTCCTTGATTTCTGTTTTTGCCAGTTGAGATGTTTTCTTTCCTGTGACCTCATTGATTTGATTCATGGTTTTTTTTTTTCCCAGATCTCTGCACTCATGGATAAATTTGAGCATCAGTTTGAAACACTGGATGTTCAGACACAACAGATGGAAGACACAATGAGCAACACTACTACACTAACAACACCACAAGTAAGAATAGGAGTGGGTTTTTTTTAAAAATCATGTTAAATTATGTGTCTAAACTGTAGGGAACTGTCTGATTCTGTTCTTTCCACCTCCTCTGAGACAGAGCAGCAACTGGAGCCTTTCCACTTTTGCTTTGTGCCTCTTTGATGAGGAGACTCTTTCAAATTGCAGCCTAAGCACAGAGGATCATATATATGTATTTTAGGCTGTTTCACTCATAGAGCAACCTTTATTTTATAGTATATCTTAAACTGAAACCCTCCTGCTGAATTAGCAGCATTTTGATGAGTTCTTAATGAACTTTTGACCCAGAAAACACTGCAGCATTAATTACCAAAGCAGAATATGCTGTGAGAGAATCAATAGTTCCAACTACTGATATTAGCAAAATTACATTAGTCACCATCAAATTAGTCATAATGGTACATGCAATGGAAAGATTGTTAATTATCTACTTTCAATTTATGGATGTGTGTTTACCAAAATAGATCTCTAAACAGTGCTTGACATGGTGAAGAATTCCCAGCACCTTGGTGCTATTCCAGCAGAAATTTTGACAGAGGGGGAAATTTACTGGAGAATAGTGCTCTGTAAATAAAATAAACTCATCTCCAAGAAGATATGAGATGGGCTTTTTTTCCCCATCTTGTGCCAAGAAGTGTTTTAGTAGCTGATAATAAACCCTTGAAATACTCCAGAATAAGTTTGGGGTTGTTTCACAGGGGAGTCCAGTTCTTTAGAAGCATTATTTTGGCAGCTGGAGTTGGATCCCTGGGATTTTAGCAGGCTGGGTACCTCAGTTCAGGCACAGCTCTCTGGTGGTTCATCACAAAAAGGTTCTGTCCCAGGCACTGAGATCAGTGTTCTAGTTTCTCTTCTCTCAAGATTTAACAGGAGAGGTTGTCATGAACTCCAGTGTGCAACAACAGGTTTTGTTTTCTTTCCTCAGAACCAAGTGGACATGCTCCTACAGGAGATGGCAGATGAAGCAGGGTAGGTAACATCTTGAGTCACTGTTTCTTGAACAAATCTTGAGCCCAACAATTCTTCCTGGTTAACCTGAAGGTGAGATGACCTTTTTACCTCCCATCTCTTGGAAGCAGAGAAGAATCACCCTTTTCTTTCACCTGGGGACATCATTCTTGTAATATATTTCAGCCTTTGGGGATATACTGAATTATTTCAGAGAATTTTATTGACCTTCTTGGTGACACATAAGCTCCCTTAGCTTGAGGACAAATTTTGTAGTAAGCATCTTTTTTTTATGAGTGAATTTTTTGCCATTCATACATATCCTGTGCCAGCCAGACCTCTGTTAAACAGCAAACTCACTCAGGCCTGCTGAGGCAAAATTCATTTAGCAATTGGTGGTTACAACATGTGACTCCTCTTCTTGGGAATGACTCAAATTTCCTGATCAAGTTGTCTAATTAGCTGAGCTGCATCATTCAGGGGAGGCTGGTGGCCTCACCCTGTCTCAGTATTTAATTATTTGTTCTTCCTTCAGCCATGTATGCCTGACTCTTTTTTTTTTTGGGTTTGTTTTTCTCCTGTTAGTCTTGATCTGAACATGGAACTACCTCAAGGACAGACAGGTTCTGTTGGTACAAGTGTTGCCTCAGCAGAACAGGTGAGTCTTGTGTTCAGTTGAATCCAACATTTTCTAGAGGAAATATGGTGTGAGAGCTGATGCTTCACTTGATCACAACTTACTAAACTTGCAATTAGTTTGTAGCTGTGCAAAGGAAACAGTGTAGTTAAAACAAGCTTGCAATTAAAATGATTTTAACAACTTGTTTGGCTGTAAATCCAGAAAGTTGTGAAGTTTCAGGTGTGTTTTGACCTGGTTATTTTACAGAGTTCCAAACACTTCCCTCTCCTACCTACTCCAGATGTCATGAATCTCCTATAGAATCTTTTAGTGAGTTGCATTTCCCATTCTAGGGGAATATATTTGAGGGAACAGAAGGAGAACAGATAATTTCTGTTGTCTTTGTGGAGAGGGCCTGAGGGAGACCAGTCTTGGGGAAGCCCTGAGTATTCCACATTCTTTGAAAATTCCATTTTGCCCTGTATCAGGCTTCCTAAAACAACCAGACCAGCCTTGGCCAGTCAAAGGCTGCATCCAAGGAAGAAATAATTCTCTAGGAGCTGATTTAGACTTGCAAAGATGATATATTGAAAAAAAAAAACCCCAATCTGTCTTTGCTGTGTTCTGAAACTCCTTCCTCCGTGTCCACTGCCGGAGATCAGGTGGTGTATGGACCTCAAGCCTCACCTGGCACAGCCTTCAGGTGTTAAGAAAACCTTCTCCATGAGATAATGCCCTGTCAGCTGGAGGTGGGATGGCCTGAGCATTGCCAGGGTGGAGGATTTTGTTGCTGATGGGTGTTTTCTCTGTGTTTTGCCCCTCTGCAGGACGAGCTGTCCCAGCGACTGGCCCGCCTACGTGATCAAGTCTGAGCTGGAGAGCTGGGGCTCTCTCCACATCCTTCCTGTAACTAACCCCCCCAATACACTACCAAGGTGTATACAGGATGGCTGAATATACACAGTACTCCACTCCAGGCTTGCTACTCTTTCTAAAACACTTTAACCCCCAAATATCAGCTCTCTAATGTCTTTTTTTTCCTGTACGTTTGGAACTTGATCTATTTTTTTGCAAGCTTATGCCCCAAAATGGAGTTGATATTTTAAGTCAGCTGGTAATGTGGGTACATTCTAGCTGCCAGAAAGGCAGTGGTGTGGATATGTATTTTAAATTATGAAGTGATTTTTTTGTTTTCTTTTTAAATTAAGAGAACTGTTTATGGTTGGAGAACTGATGCAATCAGTTCAGATGATGGTTGTAGATAACTGGACTTCCTGGAAAATACATTTATTGAGTAAATGGACTTCAGTCTGAGGTTTTTAGTCTTCAAGCTAGGGTAGTGGTACTGAAATGAGTGGTTTAGTTCCAAAATGAGTTACCAAAAGCTGTTTTCATATCATGGGGAATTTGTACAGTGTCATCACTTCAGTATAGGAGGAATAAAAATCCTATTTTTCAACTCTTTGTCAGTTCTGGTGAGTGTTGCAGCTTGCTCACTGTTGAATGTGGAGTGCTGTAGCTGCTCTGTTTTGCTTTCCTCTCAGTGGCCTGGGTGCAGCCAGTTGTGCCACACACCCCCCTCTGTTCTGCCAACATCACTTGTGGCTCCTGCTAAGAGTGAGTGACCTCACCCTGTCCATTTTTATAGATTCAAGCTGAGAAACCTTGTAGGAAGTAACTGAAGCCTGCTTTTCTCCCTTCCTTCTTCCTCTGTCTTGGCTTTCAGTCCCTTTTTAACTTCTAAGGACATGTCTTGTGTTGGTTTTCCACCCTTCAGTGCTCTGCCCCATGAAAAGTGCTCTTCCTTGGACTCAGATCTTCACAGCCCTCCTCTGAGTCCAAGTCTCAGCTTTCTCTTCTCCAAGCAGCACTCTCCCTTTTCCTCCTTGCAGCAGGTGAGAAGTTGGTGAGTAGCACAGCCCAGCTCAGTCAGAGGGGGTTATGTAGGATTAAAAACAGTTATTTACTTTATAAAAGTACAAAGTTGCTCTCTGCAGATCAAATAACCTGATTTGCAGTCCTGCAGTTGTGTGGAGAAGACAGTTTGTGGTAGTTGTCCCTCTATTTCTGCACTCTCTGCTTTCAGTAGCTCCAAACTCTTGTTGCAGTTGTGAAGAAAAGAAATGGTTGTAGAAATTTCTAGCTGAGCCTGCTGGTGATGTGTTGTGAGGATCAAATTCTTTCTGAGCTTTTTCTTTTCACCTTTCTAGGGGTGTTAAAATTCTTTCTGGGCTCTTTTTTATGCCTTTCTAGGGGTGAAGGAAGATGTGAAGCATTAGACTTGGAATTCATTTGCTGGTGTTCAGGTTCATGTGGATTTTTCCAGTATGGGAGAAATATTTAAGAAAAAATAACTTGGCTTTTTCAGTCAGGCAGGATTTTGTCAGTGAAATGGCAAAAATGATGAAACATTTCAGAGCAATTTCAGGCTACATTTTGACTGTGTTACTCACCTCACTTTGAAGGTTAGGAGGAGGTGAGATAGGGAAGTGTTCAAGGCTACTGTAAAAATAAAATGAAGACAGCCAGCTAGACAAAACAACCTAAAGTGGTGGGGAAATATTTCTCAGGCTCCAGCCTGAACTGAAACAATTTGCTCTGTTCACTTGTTTACATTTCTTTTCAGTGCAGCTTTCTGTAAACACCTTAAATGTTCCTCTTGTAAAGAGGAGAACGTGGAGGATGTTTAAAAAACATGAACCTGCAGCTGTAGTCTTGGTAAAATCCTTTCAGATTATTCACACCACACCTTCAGAAAGGGGCTGCACTCTATTTTTTTGGTCCTCTTGGCTCCTTCTGAACAATCTAACCCATAAATGGTGTTATCTATGCAACCAGGTTACCAGCTGCTCTGGTAGCCACGTGTGTGTGCCTTTCCCTTGCTGGATTTACTTCATTTTTGTTTGGTCTTCAGTTACTTCCCATCATCACAGGGCTGGAAACCTCCTGTCCTGTAATAAACCCCCATGTGCATTTACTGGGTGGTTCCTTGGTGGTGCTGTAGCTTGGAGCAGGGAGGTTTGGGGTCAGACAGCTTCACTTGGCTCATCTACTGTGGTGCTTTTAGACTCTTCCTGGCCATCCTGAAACTATTTGAGGAGTGGAGAGCAATTTGGAGACCCTTTGTGTATGATTTTGAGGATTTTGTCTTGCCATGAGCCGTGGGGCTTTGGGGGAGTGGAAAAATAGATGAGGGTGGTGAGGTGGCTGCAAGGCAAATATTAAATAAGGTGGTTTTACCAGCCTGCTCCAGAGCTCTGAACCACAGCCAGCTCCAAACCAGGGCAGATCTCCAGTGCCATTTGAAAACTGAAAAGGATTAACAGTTAAATGTAAAGGCTTGAGTGACATGGAAGAGAGAGGGGGGGTTTGCCTGATGGGAGAGGAAGAAATCCAGGTTTGAAGTGCTGAATTTTCTCCCTGCTGATTTCACCCAGAGCATCCCTCAGTTCTGTGTGTGGATCTCCTGCCCTCTCCTGGGCAAAAGCATTTCTCTTCAGAAGCCCTCAACGACCTTCCAGAAAGTTTTAACAGTTCCCTTTTCAATGTCTATATTTTTCTGCAGTCTTTTGGAAAGGCTTGAAACAAAAAAAAGTTACTTTTAGAGCAATATTTTTGTTTCCTTCCTCTTTTGGGGCACTGCTCCAAACATTTGCTCTCTTCTCACTCTCTCTGGCTCCTCACTCCTACATTTTTCCTCATGTTTCTTGTAAATTCTGTGTTTGTAGAAGTTCATCTCATGTTAAATAAATTCTCTGTGCTTTATTGTACATTATTGCCAGATAATTTCAATATTTATGCTTCCAAGCAGGCACATCTAAAAGGAAACATTGCTGGAAATGTTACAAGATGGTTTTGCTCAGTGTTTTTTCCCCTTGGTCACTAAAACTGCTGGTGTGTGGTAGCTTTAGTCTTCATCTGAATCCCAAAACAAAGCCCTGAAGAGCTGCAGAGGGAGGGGAAGGACGGATGGACAAATTTTTCTTGATTGCAGTGGAATAAAATGATCAAGTTGCCTTGGTGGAGATCCTCAGAGCCAAAAAAACCAGTGATGTTTTGTGAAATACAAAGAGCACCTGTGCACAGGAACTAAATTCTGATGCCAGGGAGGTGTGGAGAGAAGAGAAGAATTTTTGTAGCTCTGGTAGAGTTCCTTTTGAAAAGCTCTTTGCTTGGACGGGGCCATTTGTCAATGGAACTGCAAGTGGTGAATAAAGTTGTACAGAAAACTTTGGCTTCAGATGTGTTCCCTGGCTGCCTGCTGGCAAGGCTCAGCACGTGGCTGAGCCAGCTGATGTGACATCATCACTGTTTTCCTGGGGTAATCAGGAAATTCAGTCTTTATGGGGGCTGAGAAAGTAAAGTGGGTGCTGTTGAGGAAGATTTGGAGCATGAGTTCAGGGAATAATTAAGATGAAGTGTAACAACATAACAGTTTAGGGAATAATTAAGTATAACAACATAAAATATAATCTCTTTAAAATGTTATGACTTTTCAAAAGGATGTTTAGGCTGCTGTGGGAGGTGGCCCTCAACATCTAAGAGGGTTTTCTGCCCTTGTCATGTGGAAAACTGGCAGGAGGTTGGTGTGGGCTGGGCTTTGTCCTCTCCAGAGCTCAAACCCCTCTGGGTTTATTTTCCCCAGCCATTGTTGGGACCAGCAGAGGGAGCCTCAGCCCCTGTGTTTGAGTAGGTCCTACAGAAATGATCATTTTTTTTGACTTCTTAAAGAAGACTTTGAGAGAGTCCTGGGCTGCTGGTTGAAGGAACTGCCCTGGGGATCCTTTGTTTCTGGGCAGTGTCAAAGCCTGGCAGGATGTCACCCTCTAGGGGCTTTCAAGTTTCCCTAAAAGCTGCTTTTTCACACAAAACCCAACCTGGGCACTGTGGGGGCATCAGCTGATTGGTGCCAGCAGAAGACACCTCAAAGGGATGCTTGGCTGTCTTCAGGCATTCCTTTGGGACTGGGAGATCTCCCAAGTGAGTAACTGTGCTCAAACTGGGTTTAAATGGTTGAATTTCAAGTTAAACCTCCTTGGGTTGAACTTTGTCCTTCTGGTTTCACCCTGTGATGATTCTGTTTTCTACAGGAGGAAACACAAGCTGTGAACTGATGAAAAATGGATTTTAACAGAAATTTCTCTGTTCTCCTTAGAAGCATTGCCCACGTTGAGGTTTGATTTGATGGCTTAGTTACTCTGATGGCAGGATTCTCTCTCCCCTGTGGATTTTGGCCTCATTCAGCTGTGTTCAGGCCTGGGTTGAGCTGCAAGGGGGGCTCTCTGCTTCTCTCCAACAAGATTTTTCCAATGAAATCCCAGGAAGGGTCAGTGGCCTGGCTTGTTTCGGAAGCAGCTCTCTTCATTACCATTCAAATAAAGGCAAAAGACCCTCCCAGGACAATCTGTAACTCATTTCAAGTGCCAATTGAGCTGTTTGAACTCGGAGGAAGATGCAGGGAGTGAGTTGTACAGGCTCTGTTTGACCTTTCCTCCTCTTTGTTGTGAAAGTCGTGCTGAATGGGCTGTGACACACCATTCAAGAGAGAAAATCGATGGGCTGGAGGATGCCAGCTCCTCCCTTTTTGTAAAAGTCTAGAGCAATAAACATTAGGAGCTGACTAATCTGTGTCTCTGAGAAGATAACAATCAGCTGAATTTAATTTCCTCACTATCTGATTCATAATTCTTTATTACAATCAATTTCTGTCAAAAGGAGCTGTCAGGGATAGCAAAACATTTGAAAACTTCCTTTCAAAACACTATTTATATTTTTTTAAGTATTTTTTCCAAGGATTAACATAATCTTGGGAGTCTCCACAACGAGATATTTCACTTTATTCTTATCAGAGTCAGGACTTTGCCTCTCTTGC